AGAGCTTGTAGAGCTGTGAGAGCAGACAGATTGGAAGATGGCTCTTCACATGTTTTTTCTCGCCATCCTTGAACATCAGAACTACTATTGACTCTTTACAGCTTGATGATATCTCTTCCATTTCAGGGTTGCCACTGAACCTATTCGCTAGAGCGCTAAACAGAGTCTGGCCACCTGCTAGTGTGAGTTCAATTGTCATCCCGTCTCCCTGGGACACGTCCTTACTTCACTTTCTGCGCGGAATGCCAAACGTCGCACATGAAGACCGGAAGTGCAGTTCATTCTGGCTGTATGAGCGATGATGGATGAGGGTAAAGTCATGTTCTGACGCAAAGAGCTGGGAGTCAATGTTCTTGCAGATAGAATGCATCTCAGCTCTGTATGACGTTAAAGCGAAATCTCCATTCTTCAAAGCTGTGATGGACGACTGATACTTCGCAATCACTCTCCTGCGTTGTCCTTGGCTTCTACAAACGTCGGCTGTATTTCTAACTTTCGCAATAAGAAGTTCTCGAAGCCATCCTTCAGCCTTCCGCCATAATGAGCTTGCAGAGAATAGAGTATTCCATCGCGTTGGTCCATAAAACTTGTAGCAACTTTTTGCTTCCTCTGAAACCGTTCCTTTCGCCCTCTTTAATGACACCAGCTTGGCAGAATTGGCCCCGCGGATCAGTTTCTCAGTGAACTTCTCGTAGTCATCATCGCAGCTGCATTTCAGGCTCCAGCCTTCGCTGCAAATGCGCTCTTGGAGCACTCCTTCGTCAAATATCTTCGGTCATTGTCAGCCATTTGTCATCTGATATGCTTTCATCTGATTTTGTCCTCAAAATTGGCCTGGTCCTCACCAGTCGATAGTCACTGCCGGTTTAAATGATACGGCATTTATCGAATGACGCGAAGTCGATTTCGTTCTTGGTCAAGCGGTGGGCGCTATCCATGTCCACCTTCTCCTGATCTTTTTCTCTAACCAGGTGCTACTGTACACGTGCTTCGTTTCTGTCATGGTCACAACTTCTTCTCCTCACTCATTTCGCTCTACAGTGTCGTACCTACCGATGAACTTTCTTGCCAACCTTTCCGTGTGTGACTTTGTCATTGAAGTCTCTGTGACAAAAGTGTAAAACTTGGACTTGATAGTAAAGTTCCAGTTCTTGATAGAAGTTTTCCACTTCTTTCTCGTCAGCTGTACTTGTTGGAGTATAAGCTCAAGTGATCCTCAAGCTCTTCTCCTTATTC